GGAGGCAGAGCCTTTAGCTATCAAGCTCCTCTCCTATGGAACCAACTCCCAGTCTCAGTTTGGGAGGCGGACACCCTCTCTACCTTTAAGATTAGACTTAAGACGTTCCTTTTTGATAAAGCTTATAGTTAGGGCTGGATCAGGTGACCCTGAGCCTTCCCTTAGTTATGCTGCTATAGGCCCAGGCTGCTGGGGGGCCCCATGATGCTCTGAGTTTCCCCTCTTCTCCTCACTCAATCTCTATGCGTCTACTGTATATGCCAACACTACACATCACTAACTGCGTGCCACCTCTCTCCCGTAGTGTGTCCTCTCTCCCTGTACTTTTCTACAGGTTGCCCTGGCTCTGGAGCTCTACATCTCTGATGAGCAGTCACCAGCCACATTGACCTGACCAGTGTTTTGTTTGTTGTCTTGTTGCTTTTCTTCTCTCTCTCCTCTATCCACTCACCACAACTGGTTGAGGCAGAAGGCCGCCCACCAAGAGCCGGGGTCTGTCGGAGGTTTCTTGCGCCTCTCACCCTGCAGCCTTCATTTTCCAGGGAATGCCTTCTGGGAGGAGGCTATGACAAATCAGATTGAAAACCGAGAGGCTCGGAAAAAGGGCATAACCAGAGGTTATTAAACAGCAATCCTCAGTCAGGGTTTTAGTTGACTTTATGGATGGATGGTTTTTTTCTGAATGGAATTAAAGGTAATTTAGGACCACTACTGCGGATGGTCTTATGGTTCTTTTACTTTACTGGATTGATCTGTGCTACATATTTATTGCGATGACTAATTTTGTTGACTGGTGAGCAAACCAGAACAAATTAACATCGCTTGTTGTTATAAACTTATCTTAGAATCAGCAGTGTCATCAATGGCAAAATAACTTCCTCATTCAATCAATTCAAGTAATAACATTAATTTTTGCATCTCTAAAATACTCCGAGCACTGTCCTGTTGGCTTCTTACCAGATGAACAATGATGCGGTTGACAGTAAGTAAAGTGTACTATTAGTAAATACACCACAATAGTTATCATTCAAGTTCATATTTTATTTAACATAAATCATATTGCAGTCAATGTGAACAGCTGGGGTTTCAATATACACAATAGAATCGTAACATTTACGTCCTTCCCCTCTGTGACCCCGCCCACAACGACCCACCCCATCCCCACAAATGAAAACAAATGTCCCTCCTGTCCCCATAAACCTCACGACCCTCTGCTACTTTAAACACACTGATCCCCCACCCACACAACAGCCCTGCCCACCTAACAAACTCCGCCCTGATACTGTGTTTTTTTTAGCAGCAAACTCCAAACTAATCACTCTGGGTGTGTTCTTGTGGCTAAGTCGACAAGACTGAAGTAAATACGAATGCTGTTTCAGCAAAGTTCACCACAATTTCATCAGCTGAATGGCAAAAACCTCCACTTTCTCCTTTGCTGCCACCTGTCACACCTGGAGCTGATCAGCCGTGACATATGACTAACTGTGGCGTCATTGCTGGATGAAAACTATGTTGCTGTTCTGCTTTAAGGAGCTTCAAAGCACACCCAATAATATTGTGACTAACAAGCTCCGCCCACTCCAACAGAGAAACCCGAGCCTTTGAAGTGACCACTCCCCACAGCTTGAACACCACTACATCTATAGCTGTGGGTTTATCACAGGTTGGAAATATAATGCCTTAAGGTAACTCCTGTTTTGAGGAACCATTCTAAGGCTCGTTGGTGCTTGTTGCGATTTTAAACCCCTCCCACTCCACAAGCCCCTCCTACTCCTTAGAGGCACTGCACAGAAATACGGGAGAACAGTTGTTTGACAAGAATGCCCTAAGTTTGGAGTTTACTGCCGATTAATGTGTAACAAGCAGACAACAACGAGGGGGGCGTGTCCTTCTGGCCACCTGTTTGAGTCCAGGTGTCTGTACCACACGCAAAAAAAAAATAAAAAACTCACGTGGAGATCATCATCATCATCAGCACTGTGGCGTTCACTGAATCATCGCCTCACCAGAGTAACATTAGCGGACCACCCACACCTGCCTTCCCCCTTCCTCCATCTTTCAGTCCTACAGCCTCCCCCTCCTCCTCAGCTGCCACTTGCTGTCGGCCATCTTTGAGTCCACTTAGATGTGTGCTGTGTGCTGGCGTCCCCCTGTGGCGTGTAATCGGTTGAATGCTGCATTTTGGTAGTAAAACTGAGAAAGGGAGGAGGGGGAGGAGGTGGAAGAAGGGAGGGCGGGTTTTTCTTCGTCTTTTGTTTTAAAACAGAAAAGGGTCTTCTGGCGTGCTGCTTTCTGTCACCACAGCTCCTGCTACTGCCATAGAGCAGGGCTGAGGAGTAGAAGAGTGAGGAGGGGTGAGGCAGAGGGGGAGGAGTGAAGGGGGAGGATCACGGGACGCTGAGTTATTTCAGACACCTCTCGAAGTAGGTGGCGCCCACATAGCCGCCCCTCAGGGAGCGATGGACGTTCTGCTCAAAGAGCCGCCGGTTTGTCTGGAGGACCTCTGCTGCCTCCTTGTTCAATGGATCCTCTGGGTTAGGCTCCTGCAGGGGGAGGGAGCAGCCTAATATTTACTCTGTCAAACAGTTATTTAGCCTTCCCTGTGGAAAATCAGCAACCTCGTTTCCCAGAACCACAAGTGATGACTTAAATGTCTTGATTTGTCCGACCAACGGTCCACAAGGTACAGAAATTTATTTAGCCTTTAAAAGCCAGTGTGTGTTAAACTCACTAGAAATAGATACTGTAGACCGTAGATGATGGAGTTTATCGTCAGCACAGGCTTCCAGTCCTCTCTGTGGAGATGAGAGAAAACAGGCGAATGCTACAGATGGACATTGGATTGCCTTTACAAATACAACACTGCTAAGTAGTGGTCTACACGGTAGCTAAAGGTCCATTTACTAGCTGGCTCGGGAGCTTTTAACTGCATCTTACAGTCTGAATCAGCAGTTTGCTCAGCTGCCATGGATCAAGTTAGTAAGTGGACCTTGATCACGGATGTGTTTGTCAAACTGCTGTTCCTGAACTGAAGAAGCAGTAGTCGTGTACACACCTTAAGATATTTAGGCAGACGTTTCCTTCCAGGTCGATGTTGGGGTGATACACCATCGTCTCACACTTTACCTTGGGGGGGTCGTGGGGATAACCCTGACCTACCTGAAACACACACACACACACACGCTGCGCTGACTTACATTCATTTGCTTAACCACGAACACTATAAAAAGGGAAAATGCAAAAATATCCATCAAGCGAATGTTAAAATTTAATGAGGTGCATTGTGTGGACCTGATTTATGGTGTTTTCCAATTAGCATGGGTCAGCCCTGCTGAGCTGCTGCCAAATCAGAGTGGTTGTGTTTCCAATGCAACGTCAAACACGATATCTTATTTTTATTATGTTGACCACATGGGGGCAGTGCCACACGACTCATCGTGTTAGCGTGGTGTTAGTAGCTCGCAACACGGAGCCCTCGGTGCTAGGCATTATTTTACCTCTCATCAGAAGACCAAATTAGAGACTCTGTTTTCAAATCTTACTTAAATGAAGTAACAAAGAGTGAATGCTCAATGTACGGACATTTGCTTGGTGCAGCATTTCATCTAGATCTGCTGAAGGCGGAGCTCGGCCCCGGGTGGGAGCAGGGCCGGCGGAGCCCGACTCGGCACGATTACCCCCTGCCGCTAGGAACATATGGAGACGAAGGGCGACCCGTGGCTGCCTGGCTCAGCACGATTAAAGTGGGTTGAACCACGCTGAGGGAAAATCACTATAGCTAATATGATTGATCATATTAGTAAAAGTGGTTGATCTATGAAGCAACCCGGAGGATGACAAAACAAACACTTAAAATGCAAACAAATAAATAAAACAATATAAGGTTAAATAATAAACTACTAAACCACATTTAACTTGTGTACATGAAACACCTTTTCACTTTGTTCACTGTGCTGTAAATGTACTGAAATTATATTATGTATATGTGTAATATTTTTTCTAATTCTAGTGAAGCAGAAGCCTTAAGACAAAAGGAGAAAGGTGTGAGGAGGAACAGAGAGGTGACAGGTGTTTCTCACCTTAAAGCTGAAGACAAACTTTCCTCCTTTGTAAAAACCCTGAGACACAAACAGAGTTTGAGACATACAAATTGTCAGGTTTTACTAACCCACTAAGGATCAGAATAGGCACATGGTGCTCAGTAAACCTGCCCTAGATTACTAACAGTTTCCATAAAGATATATTAAATAAATAGATAAATTCAGTTTCAGAGTGCTCACAAACGCACCTCGTCCGGTGAGATGATGAGCCTGAAGTTGAGGAGGTCGTCGTCATCAGGGAAGTTGATCTCACATGTCTTTGGCAGGTTCAACTCATTGATGTCTGAAACAAACACAGTTGGAGGTGGCTGTGAAAGCACAGACTAAAGAAAGTCAGCACGATGAGCACCAGGTGTAATTCTGCACTGTTTGCAGGATATTAGTATCAGTATGTGTTTCCCTATCAACTGATCAATCATTCTGTTGCTGCTAGAGACTTCCTCCTCTCTCCATTTGGCTCAACTGCACTGGATCAGGTCTGAAAATCCATTTCTGCCTGTCGGGTTTGGGTCAGATCCAAAATTCAGGACCGATGAAGACCCTCCGGTTGAAACTCCAACAGCAGCCTGGCTTTTTTGGTCTTTACCTCCATAACCTCATAACCTTAGGAACATGTTTCAGTGAGTATATCTATGTGACACATAAAGTAGAACAACTGGCACCACCAGTACGTGGACCATCACATTGGCCTGTGTGATGTGTATTTAAAGGTGCTGTTGCTATTTTCTTGTTGAGGTGTAAATGTTGCTGTGCTGAGGAGTATCAAGTTATTGGTTCAAAAATAAATTATGGTTCAAAACCATAGCAAACCTTTATTTGATTTATATAGGATTCAACGCTAATCTTAATACACTCTTGAAATCCCAATTAAAAGGTACCTGGTGGAGTTTTTTGTTGTTTTTCAGTGTCAGCTGCTCACTGTGACCGAATGAATATAACTGACATTACAAACAGTGAATTTTATAATGAAATGAAATGACTGAAGGTAATTTTCAATAGAACTCCATGTTTTCCTCTGCAGGTGCACCAAGTTACATTTCAGACTTTTACGGCCTTTTTAATACCACATTAGTATGAAGCCCAGGAGGGGACAGAGGAGAGGGAACAAACTGATGGCTGACTTAGTGACATTAGTTATGCAAGTTGTACTCAATTCCCTTTATCAACAGTCAGCCATGTTAACAATCAATGGGGCTCCAAAATGGGCTCCTATGGATGTGGGTGGGTTGTTCTAATTTGCTTTACTTTTTGTTTCCACCTATGAAAAGTTCAGCTACAGCCCAGGAGATCAAAACTATAAGAGGACAGGTGAATGCAGGAAGCTGGTGATTGTAGGCTGTAACATCAACGTCACTGCAGCATCAACAGCGACACAGAGGATGGAGGACATTAAGGTTTGCCACTTTGAGACCAACAGGATCCGATTGCAGCGATTTGTGTAAAAACAAACAAACAAACAAACAGAACCATAACTCAATGAAATGTGGACAGACAGACAGACAGACACATTTTTAGGTTCAGTGTGACATCCACTGAGAATCTTCCTGTTTCTAAGTTGTCTTCAGTATCACAGTGATCCAGTGACCAGCTGACTGACCAGGACGCTGGTCAGCAAGTGCTTTTTAAAATGTGAACCTGTCAGGGGAAAATCTTCTGCAGGACCTCTCTGGGACTCCGTGAATTAGAAAGCACCTTTGTTTTTATGAGTCGGCGAAATGATGAATGATAAGAAGATAACAGTTTCGCTGACCCTAAAAATAACTGGCTGTCAATCAAACTATTCATGCCCAGGTGTGAAGAAGTGTGTCACCTTTTAGACAGTCAACCTCAGAGCTGACACAGCACGCTAGCTAGTGTTAGCTAGAAATTACCCTTAGACTTATTTAGAAAGTTAAATGTTGGCTGGTTAGCAGTGTAGAATATGTTCCGGGGTTTGGCTTAGCTGTGAGATAACATACGAGGCTAAAATGATGTGATAGCTAGCTTTGGATTATCTATGTTAGCTGTTAGCTAACACCACTTCAGGCTAAGTTAGTGTGCTAGCTGCTAGCCTCTGTGAGTTATAATGATAATAATATTAATACTCGGCTTTCACTCTCTGCGTTTATGTATAATGTGCACTGAGGGGGGCGGCGTTACCCTGGGGTTCACTGGTAACTAGTCATCCAGCTAACCCAGTAGTGGCGTTGTTAACTAGCCTACCTTTCTGTATTCGGAGCTGGGCCGCGCTGGCTTTTTTACCCCCGGCTCCTGTTCTGTTTCCTCCAGCAGATTCCTCGTCTTTCTTCTGCTGCTTCAGGGAAAAGAGCTTAATCATCTTCAGTTGTTTGATAACTGGATGCTGTACCGTGTGTCCCTGCGGTGTGCGCGGTATCTGTGCGTGAGTTTTAGGAGATCAGTCCCAACAGCACCGTAATGTGTATGGAGCCGGTGCGTCTCAACTAATTACACTGAGGAGAGATGCTAGCATAGCCTGTTAGCTAACGGGGGGAGGAGAGGAGGAGGAGGGGAGAGTGTGTGTTCAATATGTATGTTGTAAGGATAAACATTTGAATAAAGCAAAATAATAAAAGTAACATTATATTAAGCCAAACTGTATGTTGTGTAAGGAAACTCATTAACGTCAGAAAAATGTAGCCTATTAATTAGGCCCAAGTAAAAGTGATAAGTGCAAGATCAGGACTACATTACAGCAAAAACTAACGCTACAAATCCCAAAATAACTTTTGTAGTTTTGATCCCCATGTCTCAAAAATTAAATAATAGTCTGTCGTAATTTTAACTTGTAATAAAGTGTTTATTTCAAGTTCCATAATTTTGAATTTCTATGCCATTTACAAAACTAAATATCTCACTATTTTACTTGGAAACTCCAAGTTTTGAATTTTATTTTACATATCTTTACAGTGTCTTACATGGCTTATCACCTAGCAAGGTGTTTTACAAAACCGTATGCACAAATTTATTTGTCATCTTATGCCTCAGAACATGAAATCACTCTAAGTCTGTCAAATATCAGACATATCATTGTGCCCTACCAGTCTGGAGACATTGGTAGGCTACAGCTGTTTTTATTTATTTTAAATCATGTTTCATTATTGTGCTTTTACATGGGATTTATATGTCATATATTGTTTTTTATACAGACCTTGAGTCTGTAATGAAGTTTGAATTGAATTGACTTTGGCTTATAGGCTACAGTATGTAACTTAGTCTTTTGACTTAATGTCAAATATATTTGACTTTAAGCCAAATGCTGTCTAAATAGTCCTCTTTACCATTTTGATCCATTGTGTCAAAATAATTAATTACCATGAGCATTTTTGTCAATCCTAGAAAATGGTACCCTATTTCCTAAAAGTTTAAATTGTGAATGAAACATTAAATAAAAATAGTAAATACTACTGTACAGCATTGTGCAGAGTCAACAAATCCCAGAATACACCCAAACACATCCATGCACATGGCTTTGTACATGGTTTTAATATTGTATGGCAAATTTTGACTTTAAATGTCACCATTTTAATGTGCTGTCACATATGTTTTACTTAGTGTGTGTTGTTTTAAAGTCGTATGATTTTTCAACTAATCATTCCTAACAGTTTTTCTTTTTTACCTGTATTTTAAGTGCAATTTGTTTGGGAGCGCAGGTTATTGCAGACATCATAACAAAAGAATATTTGCTCAGTTTCTTATTGTAAGTTGTTTTTACCAGACATTTTTCACCCTATAACAAGATATAGGCGATGTATAATTCATATTATAACAAGAGCCTTTCCAGTTATTGAGTTTTTGAGAGACGACGTACCAGAGTCAAATTCCTGGTGTTTCCAACACACCTGGCCAATGAAGTTGATTCTGATTCTAGCAAGATATTTTCACCTCATCATATTTTGACGTTACAAAAAGATCAGCATATTTTTGTGTTTACTGTTGTAACAATATGCTGCTATAAATTCGTAATAACCTGAAATGAAACTTGGGAAAATATTTGATAGGCGACAACATTGCAGTGAAAACTACAAATCCCAAAACGCCTTTCTGCACTTGACGCCACTGTGATGTAACTATGTAGGGGCGGGGTTGCATGTTTTCGCTGCCCATATTTTATTTACATTTATTTATTTTATTTTCTAGCTCTCTCTTCCTCCGTACTAAAAACGGAGAGGGCTATCTGTAGTCACCTGTGTGATGTAATCATCAATGCGGGGAGAGGGTGTGTGGTGGGGGGGCAAACCTATCACGGGAGACGAGCTGACTCGCAACACAAATCACGCATAACCCCGCAGCCAGCTGCCACACAAAAGACACAGAGAACAATAGCCGTGCTACTCCACATCCATATGATCTGTCGCGTTTTAATGTTGCGATCTGCCGATCCTAGTTTCTGCGGAGGGTTATAGCCAAGTGCGGGTTTAAAACCCCGCTCTTCAGGTAAAATGAGGTGTTTGGGGTGTTTTGCAGCCCCCCGGGAAGAAGAGCAGCGGAACACAGCATAACGTGCAGGGGAGAGAGGGAGGGAGAGAGAGAGAGAGAGAGAGAGAGAGAGAGCGGAGCGAGAGAGGGAGAGGAGTGAATGGGCACGATTCACTGCGCCCTTCACTTTATCGATATCGATCAGTTTGGTAATCGAGACAATTAGACCCAGAGCGGGTCCGTTAGGTTAGCCCGGGAGCTAGCCGGACCACCGGAGACTAGCACGATGGGACGCGTGTGAAGCAGCCCGGAGCTAACAGTAGCCTGGCGTGAAAAGAAACAAGGAAGCGGACGGTTAGCTGCGCTGCACAGAAAGCTAACGTGGGCTAACTGTTGGCTAATATTATTTCTAATGAGCGACCAAGGAGTATGCGACCTGTTACGAAGAGGTGCGTGTGTGCTGTTTTATTTCTTTACTATTATAAAACATGTTTTATTGGCCTGCATCTACCCGCGGAGGCTGTCCGTTAAGGAGAGATAATGAAAAAGGAAGCGTACTGCAGGGGGCGAACGGACAACGAGCCTGCTAACATGTTAGCAGCCATATCGTTAGCTTTCCAGAAATCGAGGGGGTGTGGAGGGATCGCGTGCGTCCTTTCACACATATGTTTCATTAATTAACACGACAATTCGTGTTCACGCGCGTTTGCAGGTGCCTTGTGTTTGTTCGCACTGACTACTGTAGGTTACTGTGACGCGGTAGCTCTTAGCCGTTAGCAGCTATCTCCAAGTGGTGCCAGATGCGCATCTTCATTTTTCTTGCAGGTCTTGAGAAGTCTTAAAAAGCTTTAAATTCAGGCCCCTTATTACAGGTCTGAGAAGGCATTTAAAAAGTCTTAAAGAAAGCTGCAGCAATTAGTTAATTGGTCAGTTCATCGATCAACAGAAAATGAATCGGCACTATTTTAACAATCAACAATTCATGGTTGCAGTTGGAATAAATAGCCTATTTGTTGGTTTCACCTTCTCCAACGTGACAGTCGGATGGTTTTCACTGTCAGGCATCATAGTAAACTGAGTATCTGTGGTTATGTTTGACACTCGTAATCAAAATATCGATCATATTGGCCAATATATCATGATCATATTTTTTCGATTAGGTCTGTAACTGATTCATTTTCCTAATCAGTTAATTAATAATTAAATTTCTAGGTTACTAAGATTTTCTTTGCAGAAATGCACATCATTAAATCTCTGGTGTTGCCGGCTCTGACAAGTCAGTACAAGCATTAATATCTGTGACCCTCTCTAAGATATTACAGCTGAATTATTTGTTCTTTGGCAGCAGATTTGATGTACTGATATTTTGCTTATTGATTTTCTTGCAAAAAAAAAAGTCTACAATTCTCAAGTTCCGGGTTCTGAAATGTAAAAACCTGCTGCTTGTCTCTTGTGAATATCTTTGGAAGCATTTCAATAAGTAGTTATGGGCTTTGGGAAATTATAAGAAGCATATTTCACTATTTCCAGACAAACATGACAACAATCAGCAGATGAACTGATTTTTAAAAAGTGATAGTTCTAACTGTACTGAATACTATGGAGGCAACATGTTTGTCAATAGCTATGTTGATAAAACATCTGCAGAGGTAATATAGCTGAAATATCCAGTGAGGTTATTCATGGTGCAACTGTTATTTTAATTATTGATTATTTTCTTGATTAATCGTTTGATGTACAAAATGCCAGAAAATAGTGAAAAATATTCATTACAGTTTCTTAAGGCACAAAATAATATCAGACAGCTTGTTTTGATATATAAATATTTAATTTTCAGTTTATCATATAAAGCAGCAAAATCTTCCCATTTAGAAACTGAAGTTGTTCTGTTTAAAAAGTGACTTGAATTATGCTGAATCTGCTTGTTTTATAGCTATCATGAAAAACTATCTGCAGTGGTAAACGAGCTAAAATTGTGCAAGAGCTGGCAGCAATGGTCATTTTCACAATAGGCTAATTTGTCTGTTATTTTATTGATTAGTAGTTTGATAAAATGTCATAAACCAGTTGAAACTGTATATCTTTTCCCTAAGGGCTCATCTTCAAATGGTCTCTTTTTGTTTTTTGTCTGATCTGACCATTCTGATGGCGCTTGCACAGTCAGAGGTCGGAGAGGAATTGGGTCTAGGAGCACATACACAGCTGGCCCAGAGCTGGTCTGAGGACACCTGGTCTGGTCTGTTCACACTGCTGTGGACACACCAGGTCTGGGAAACTTTAGCTGGGATGTGGACGGATTCTTGAACAGTTCTACTGTTTACATGTGTAACACTGTATGTCTTGTCTGTTACCTGTGTCAGCAGCTGACTTGTTCGGGGATGTCGGGCAGTAAGGCGCTGGGTGGGGGCGCGAGGCGCAGGCGGACGCGGTGCCGGCGCTGCCAGGCCTGCATGAGGACCGAGTGTGGGGAGTGTCACTTTTGCAAGGACATGAAGAAGTTCGGAGGGCCCGGCCGAATGAAGCAGTCCTGCCTCCTGAGACAGTGCACAGCAGTGAGTCTGAAAGGAACAAAAACACACACTGTTGACACTCAGAATGGGTTGGTTGACAGGCTCTGTTACACCTGTGTAGGGCACTGAGGTGCATGTGGTTCATCAAAACAAAGTGAAATTGTGACAGATGAAGTCAGTCAGCTTGTGTCAGATAGAAAACTTAAAGGATCATTTAACCTTATTTGCAGCTTCTTTTGAGGGCAGGTGGTTTCACATATTTTTCTAATAGGTGGATTGAAAACGTGACACTCAGATGGAGGGCAGGAAGTGAAAAACAGAATGTGGAGATGGAGTAAAGTCTCTATTGTGCTAGTGTAAACGATATTAGGAGAAAAGGTATTGGTATATTAACATATGTGAAACATGTATGGAGGAGCAGTTTTTCAACAGAACGACTTTCTTGCTATGGAGGCCAACTGTCCTGTGCATAGACATTATATAACATACGTTTATGGTCCTGTGGATTAGCCTAGCAGTGAACATTGAGTGCATGGTGCCTCTCCATATGAATGTTACCGTTGTTTACTTAATATAGG